ACGCACACGCGCACACACACACACGCACACGCGCACACACACACACCTACATTGTGTTTCGTCGCCATTTCTTTTCCTTGCTCCCTGGTGATTTTCCTCAAGTGCATCAAATCGACCTTGTTGGCCACGAGGATCATCGGGAACGACTCTCTGGGAAAGGAAGGGACAGCAGGTCTGTGCGGGCTCCTGGGTCAAGGCCCTGCAGCCACACCTTGGGCAGAATGCAGCCCGCGGTGCACCCCAGGCGCTGGGGCCGCGGATCCCTCCCCACGCCGTCCCTGGGAGAGGTAAGGGCTCAGGGAAGGTGCTGGGGTTCTGCAGACCCTGCCCCTCTCCAGCCACCCTGCAGGACCACACACGGGGCTTTCAACAGCTCTGAGGAGCGGCAGGGGCAGCGTCCCGCACTCAGCTGGAACCCGGGGAAGGGCAGCAGCAGTCAGGAGGGCTCCCAGGGGAGGAGGTGGGGTCGGAGGCACGTTGTTAAAGATTCTCGCTGATAGACGTGGCCGAGTGGCCGACCCCAAGTCTCACAGCATGTCCAGCAGCACTGGGTATTTTCATTAAAAAAAAAATGACGATCTGGCAGATGACAAATGGTCCTGTACTGTCCTTACAGTTCTTCGGTTCACAAGAAAGTGGAAATGTTTTCCCACATCTGAGTCATTTAAGTCTTCTCTTTCGAGATTCAAATATTCCGAGGCTTAACTCACACGAATCTGTCAGGACGGTGTGTACGTGTCCCCGTACTTCGCAAAGCTGTTACCGCTTTGTCTCTGGAATAGGTGTTAACTGCATTCCCCCCTCCCCTTTTTGTTGTTGTTGTTGTTTGTTTAAAGTGGCTGTTTTCCTATGACTTTGCGCCTTTCTGTTCTTGTTTGAGGTTTCTGCCGTAGGGTATGTGTGCTCCCCGGAGAAAGACAGTGAGGGAAAATGAGAATTCACCCCACATGGGTGGCCACGCTGCAGTCCCCTCCTGGGATTTTGCACACGAGCCTGGTGAACTTAAGCTGCCAAGACTCGAACCACAGTTGGTCATGTGGGAGTCCAGTGCTTTAACCACTATGTCACCTGCTGGCCTCAACTTTGTCCCTTTCTTAACAATGTCTCTTTGGGATCCGAATAACTCACAAGACCAGCTAGGCTTAAAACAACTTCCAAATTCAAATAATGCTAAAAAAAAAAAAAAAAAAAAAACATAAAAAAAAAAAAAAAAAAAAAAAGCCTTTAATTCATGGCTATAGGGGCTAGCCGGTGGCATGGTGGTTAAGGGCGCTGAACTCTCACATAGCTGACCACAGTTTGAGTCCTGGACCTGGCGGCTTGCTTTCTCACTTTCTCTCTCTCTCTTGGTCCCTCTCTGGTCAAATTAAAATAAGTAAATAAATAAATTAAGTTAAAATAAAAACATTCTTAAAAAAAAAATTAGTGGCTATAAACCTCCTCGTCAAATGTGAGTTAACTACTACAGTGCACTCTGGAGAGAAAATTTACTTTTTCTTTGAACATAGTGTGATTTGGTTAGAATAAATGGTTCTTTAACTGAGGGGACAGTTTATGAGAGGTGGGAGGGAATCGACCCCCAGAAGCCTTAGAAGCAGGTTGGGCAGATGTCGGGGCTGGCGAGCACTTGCGGGGAGGGGACGCCCCACAGCTCGCGCTGTGTTTTTGCTTGCACCTGGAAGCCGGAGAGGTACAGGTGGACAGACAGACCCTGGGCCAGTGCCGGGAGGCCCGCCCTGCCCTCACCTGTCCTTGACGCGCAGGATGAGCTGGTGGAACCGGTCCACGTGCTCGAAGCTGGCCTTGTCGGTGACGGAGAAGACGATGAGGAAGCCGTCCCCGGTGCGCATGTACTGCTCCCGCATGGCGCTGAACTCCTCCTGCCCGGCCGTGTCCAGAACTGGAGTCGGGAGAGGCCGCTCAGGGGCTGCCACGGCCCAGAAACCACGCTGCCACCGCCCCG